GCTCAAGGGGTTCACTAGGCTTCTCAGTGAATTCGGCTAGGCCTTGTAATAAAGGCTGGGCCAAACCCATGTGGCTGATGTGTAGATCAATGCTTAGGTCCCACGCCATACAAAGAAGCCCAACTGGGCAGCAGATTGGAAACTAGGTAAGCACTGAACACTTAATGGGCCAAAAGCCCATTTYGAGCTGGGCTGATATGATCACCCATCTATGGGGCGGATCTGGGATTAAAGTTAGCAAAAGGATTGGGCCTTTAACCTTATCCACTCTGGAAGACCAAATTCAAATCAGATTGGAATCTGGTAACCTCCTAATAAGATCTGGAGTAGGCTAACTTAATCTGTAGATAGGATTAAGATCATCCCCTATCCAAATACTGATTTGGATTGGGATAACTCCTCCTTAGGAGGTTCCTTAATCAAGAAGAAAAGAGGAGAAACCCTAAGAGAACATAATCAGAATTCGAACATAGGGTTTGTGTGCAAGAGAACATCCTGCGAATTGAGATTGGTTCTCATACACACTCTAGAGAGAAGAGAAGCGATTTCAGCCATCTTCACTTCAGGAGTCCTCCTCCAGCCGCCGCCATTCTTTCTGACAAGATTCGATCTTTGAAGAAGAAAGAAATCAAGAAATCAATTCTTGTCATCAGTTTTGCAGAAAAAACTAAAAAGATTTGGTGCTCAGAGTTTCCAGAGGGTTCTTGCGAAGGACCCAATGTGTAGGATGCACTCTGCTGGTTCCGTTCCACCTATTGCTGTGTCATCTTCAACAGGAGCGGATCTTGGTGTCCTCTTTGGGCGTGAACACCAACTTTGGGAGATACTGCTTCTCTGGATCAGGTATAATCCCTCCCTTGTCTTTGGTTTAGATCTGGTTCGATTATGGTTCAAGTACGATCCTTGAATATTGTATTCTAAATTTAGGGAATTCGATTCCCAGTTGGAAGAAGGTAGGAAAATTTTTGAAATTCGCCCACCCATTCCGCAACCTTTATGGTGTCCATACGATGGATCCTACCATTATTTCACAACCGTGGCGAGCCGAGCTCGAGCCTCATACTATTTGGCTTGGCTCGGCTCGAATCCACCCCTATATAGGGGTTTGAAGTTGCATGTCCTTTTGGTCCCCAATGAGCAAGGGCTAGATAAAAATAAATGTGGATGGTGCCTTTTGTTGTCTTCCCAAGTTGTCATTGTTGGGGTGGTGGTTAAAGACTGGCCCAGGTCTATGCTTGCAGTTAAATGTTGTGTTGTAGTCGCTTCCTCACCTCTCTTAATAGAAGAAGTGGTAGTTTTTGAAGGATTGGTCTTTGCAAATGATTTGGGTTTGTCTCGAGTCATCATTGAGAGTGATTGCTGGGCTGTTGTTGGCCATCTCTTTAGCTCGGATACCTCCCTAAACTCAGAATTATCTTTCTTGATCCTAGATGGATTAATGTTGGCTGTGAAGTTTAATGTTGTGTTCTCAATAATTAGGCTTCAGCAAATAAAGCTGCTCATGTTGCACCAAAAATGGGTCTTGCAAGTTTGAACTGCTAGATGGATGCTTGTCCCATCTGGATTGGTCAATTTTTTTGGAAGATCTATCGTTTAGTGCTTGTGTTGGTTTGTGTTGTTTCTATATTTTTTCCTTTGTTGTTGATTTTAGTCTTTAGTGTTGTAATCCTAATTGTTCTCCAGTTCTCTTAATAGAAAGGATTTTTACCAAAAAAAAAAAAAACTCTTTAAGGGAGGTTTCAGCAATGATCAAAAACTTCAAGGGAGGTTTCAACAATTTACCCTTTTTTTAATATATCTAAAGTGGTTAATAGAGTGGTTGGTTATCATGGCAAGTTATTGTCATTTGGTGGTAAATTGACCTTTATCCCCTTAGAAGTATCCTTTCTAATTTGTCCTTCCATCAGGGATCAGGGGCGGAGCTAGGGGGGAACCCAGGGGAGCCGTGGCCCCCCCTATGGCCCAAAAGTCCCCACTATTTCATGTAAATTTCCCCCTCCCCTATTCCCCACTCCAATGGGTTGGCCCCCTTATGACCATCCATATTTGTTCCTCCCCCCTCCCCCAATCCACCTTAGATTTTGGCCCCCTTCATGAAAATTTCCTAGCTCCACCCCTGACCTAGATGTACTATATGACTCTAAACAATTATTACTTGGGGTCCATTTGGTTCGCAGTCGGAGTCAGAATCAGAATCCTGCAGAGTCGGAATCAGAATGGTCCATTCCCATGATATTTTTGGTTCAGACAGGAATGGGAATGGAAACTGGAATCAGCAGGAATAGGATTTCATTCCCAAAGGAGGGGCAGGGAATGGCCATTCCCTCAAATGGGTCCAGCAGGAATAAAAATGGGATTCCGATTCCACCCAACCAACCCATGTCGATTCCGATTCCAGACCCCTATTCCCGAGAACCAAACAGGGCCTTAGTGGCGGATTAAAGAGGTTAAAGTACAATCAAGGAAAAATGGGCATGTTAGAAATTGACAAAAGATAGCATACAAAAAACTTACAAAATATAAAACATGAAGTTAGAAAAAGTAAATGAGACTAAGTTTAAGGTATATATGGTGAACATTTCTTTGAACGTTTATCATAAACTAGGCAGAAGACAATTAGAATGTAAAAACTTGCAATGGAGAAAGAAAAAAACGAAGTCATGTTGATGCATTAAAGAGTGTCGCCCGAGGGAATATTTACTTGGATAGTTATTTAAAATAATATGTACCTGTAAAAAAATTAAAGTGAATGAGACATTTAAGAGGAAGAAGCAAAGGCGATAAGGTCAACTTTATTATATAAATTGCAAGAGGCCCATTCCATTGCTGGTTAGAACAGAAAAATAAAAGATAAGTGTGGGACCTATGGAATTTGCATCTATGATAGCTTACTTAATTTTACTGTTGTTATAGGGGGCAAGGTGAGTTTTGTCCAGAACCCAATTGAAGCTGAATTTGCAGCAATTTTGGAAACTGTTTCTGTCTAATGATAGAGGTTGGAGGGAGTTAACAATTATGTCTGATGCTAAAGTGATGGTGGCGGCTCTAAAAGGATATGAAGCTATCATATCTTGGCGATTTTCTTTTTTAATTTATAAAATTAGGAATTTGACCAAGTTGTTTTCTGTTGTAAATTTTGTTCATAAGCCCCAGAGGTCCTATACTTTGACAGCTCGTATCATCGACCAGGAGACTGGTTTTTGGTTGATCGTTGTATCTGGAACTCCCCTCCTAGATGGCTAAAGTCTAGACCCTTTTATCTCCCTTTCTTAGTTTTTACTTCTCTTTTCATTTATATATAAAAAAAATCTTATCAAAGTAAAAAGTTGAAATATTAAAGTTTAGTATTTGACGTATCGGCAACCAGAATATACGTAACGCCAAATAATTTGAACTTTGGCTATTTAATGTAAACATTCTTATCAAGCATTTTAAATGTAAAAAGTCGAAATATTAGAATTTAGTATTAGACGTATCAGCAACCAGAATATACATAACGCCCAATAATTTGAAACTTGGCTATTTCAAGACAACATTTGAAGGCACAAGCTTTTGAACATGTATATTGTATTGTCAGTTTCTATAAAGTTCTTAATTGCTATAAGGATTTTTTTTACAACACCAAACGCAAAGTAAAGAGAATAGTCAATTAACTTGTTGACAAAAAAACATTTTTCTACAAAGCAAATCATTAGAAATGATCCACCGGCTGGGATTGATATGTGCGCCGCCTCAATTGAGACTCTGTTGTGGGTTGTTGCAAAAATATTCTTGTAGGATCATTTGGATCAACATACCTGTGTCGGAAATGAAATTTCATTATCCTTTTCTAATACCAATACAATACAAAGATGAAAAACTTCAACAGCCACAATGAGTGTACTTACGCGTGTCTCATCATTTCCTCAACTGGCGTTTGAGCTGCTTGTAAAGGATCCAAACGAGGTGCTGTCTCAGATACAGAATGAGCAAAGTATTGACTGTATTGTTTCACTGAAGCAATCAGATTTAAAAATAGAGGGACAAAAGTTCCGCAACCCCCCTCCTTGAACACGATCTTGAATGAGTGAGTCGAGTAAAGAGCCCTGTGCTGATCGTCTGGCACAACCTGAAATTACAGATCAAGAAAAAAAATCACACACAAACACACACACACACTCTCTCTCTCTCACACACACACACTTACAGGTTCAAGAAGACCTGAGATGTTGTTGCAAAAGAATATTGGCTGATTGAATTTTTCACCATGAACATAAAGCTGCAAATCAAACAGGATGTGAATTAGGCACAGAACAGAACAGAATGGTGAGGATTCATGTAGTCGGGACAAGGCTTATATGATGAAGATAATGATGACATGCTACTAAACATTATAATTGCTAGCCACTTCCAAATGAACCTCTCATTTTATAACCCATTTGAGCTATTCCTATGTTCCTTTGAACTCTGCTGACCGCCTGACCCTATCCTTCCAAGTTTCAGAAATGAATTTAAATAATGTAAGAAATAAAACTCTTAATTACCTAAACGATTACACCAAAACACAATCAAACTAACCATTAGACAGTGTATGCCCTTAACTCCAATCAGATTGATGTATATATTCATTTATTGTAAATGAATAAAAGTACATAATTGTTTCATGTTATAATTGGTGGGCAAAACTGGAAAGTTACACATAACCCCTAGACTCGATTATGGTACTGCATTGGGTGTCGGATTGGGTGTCTTTGATATGCCAATCAGTGAGATCCTTCGGGGGTCAAAACCTGGGTATGTTGGGGCAGTTTAAGAATTCACTCGAGTGGGCGATCATAGTGACAGGATCAACCCCTTTGTTGGACAAAGTGAATGATTGGGATTGCACTCTCTGATATGAAAACCAAAACTGCTGGCAATTGATTTCAACCGTGTTTGGGATTTTTTTGCAAAATATATTTATGATAATATATATATTATGTTTTAAGAAAAAATGTTTGCAAAAGGTTTTAATTCCCGGGACCCACCCAAGTAGAAAATGCAACACTACACCTAGCAGCCAGGGGAGAGGTCCTTCCCTGTCAGGCAGTGTTTGATCATTATGGCTGAGAGGTTAAGTGTAAGAGACCATTTAGGGTTGTTTTACTTGATGGACTATATCTCACTTAAGTCCATTGTCCTTGGGCCTTTATAGGATGGCTGGATTCAATGATCATTTAATGTAAATGTTGGGCCCATTAAGAGCCCATTCTGATGGACTCAGGGGTTCACTATACTTGACAGTGAATTCGGCTAGGTTTCTTCACAGAAATTAGGCCGAACCCATATGGACTAATGTGAGGCCATTGTTGGGGTCCCATACCATACAAAGAGAATCAAATGGGCCAGCAACTACCTAGGAACGTGAGTCATTTGCTTAATGGGCCTAAAGCCCATGATTAATTAGATTAATCAAGTGGTCACATGACAACTTAAGCTGTCATGTGACTTGGGCGAATATGGGTTTGGTTATGGGTCTAGATCAGCCATTAGGATAAGAGGATAAGTCTTATCCACTTAGAGAGTCCAAATCCAAATAAATATTTGGATTAGAAACCTCCTAATTCGATTAGGAGTGGTGATCTTTAAGGCTTATAAAAGGAGGAGGGCGAACTGCTCCAGTTATCAATCTGCTCTCAGTTCTCTCTTTTTGCTCTTGCCGCCCCAGAAACCCTAATTCGACCTCCAGTTCTTGAACTGATAAAGATCAGTTCTGACTTCTGATTTTTTAAGAAAATATCATATTCAATTCATGCTCACCTCCCTTGCTTGATCCAAGCAGTTGGATTGTAGTTTTTGCTGAAAAACTATGTTGCTGAACCGGCTTCAATTCAAGCTGTGCCATCTTCAGTGGAAGCTGGTTTTGGAACTCTCTTTGGACATGAACTACCACTTTGGGAGCTACATTTGTGGAATCCGTATCAGGTATACTTTTCCCTTTCTTTTGGTTTTAAATTGGTCCAGTTTCGGTGCAAGAACGATCCTAGAAAAATGCGGTTTTTTCTAAAACGATGAATACAATTCCCGAAAGTGTGAAAGAATTTTTTTTTTTAATTTTGCCCAGCCATCTAGCATGGTTCGGCCATCCATATGATGGATTTTCCCTTTACTAACAAACTCACAAACAGAAGTTTCATTCCACCCCCACAATTTTTCTATCATCAAAGTGGCATCACTTCCTTATCAACCTAGCCATTTGTCAACTCAAATAACTCCCTAACAACATCTTCCTTGTTCAGAACTAATGAAAAAAATAGTGGGACACACTTCTGCCAAAGGCTGATCTGAACACTAGATGTCCTTCCAAAACAGAGCTCTGCTTTCATCCCCTCAAGTTTTGCTGAAACAACGGAAGATGAGTTATGATTCCATTCCATACACTAGTGCTATAGGATTGTTGTGGCATAAATGAGACCCAGTCCGAGACCTTCCATATTCACATTCAATAACCTGGCACCATTACTGAATTGGTTCCTCTCCAAACCTCCACAACCATTTACATAACAGAGCATCATTCATCAACCCATGCAGCTCTTTTGGTTTGAAGATAGAATCCCATGCAGTCAAGTGAATTTTCCTTTCGTCATTAGGACCTTCCCAGAGGAAATACCCTCAGTTTTTCTTGCACACTAGCAACTGAAGCCGGTAGTGAGAATAGTGACAGATAAAAAGTGTGGCAAACCGGAGAGAACGCTTGGGATTAAGATTACCAATCCCCGTTTAGATAAGTACCTCCCTTTCCACCCTGCCAATCTCCTCTTGCATCTCTCAATAGAACTTTCGATATGTAAAAATAGCTCAGCCCTATTGACCATGGTTTTGAAAGCTGGACCAGCCTGGACAGCCAGAGACTGGTTGACCCAGGAACCAGTCATGGGTCCAGGCCCGGTTATAGACCCCAAAGCCATCCAGCCAAACTTCAATCGGACACTTGACCTGGGAACCGGTGGTCAAAGCGGTTTCTTTTCTGAATCGGTATTCAAAACTATGCTTTAGACCCTGGAGCTTTCTCTCTTATTTTTACTAATAAATAAACTTCAATATTTTATTCAATGAAACTAGAAACAACAATCAATACAAGAGACCCCACAAGAGGTAATAGGTGCAAGTGCAACCTGCCACATAGTATAAGGCTCAGTTTGGAAAGAGTACATAAAAATATGTACAGTGCAAATACAAACAGAACAATACAAAATACAGGATTTTGCACTCTACATATTTCTATTTGTTCTACCCTTCCAAACTGAGTCTAAAGAACGAAATACAGAGAACATACAAATAAGCCCAAAACATTTGATCCGTATTAACCCCTTGTTTGGCTAAAGTATTCGTCATCCTATTAACCGTTCTCCTTTCCCATTGGATCCTCAGGGTCATTATTACAATTTAGCCATTTGAATCTCTTAATTTCATTCCTAAATCCCCTTCAACAACCAATTGGTCAAAGTTGAGTTGTCTTGCTAATTTTACCTACTACCAGTCATTCTCCTTTCCCAAAAAAAAGTGCAAGGTGCAAAAAAATCACAAAGGGATGTTTGCGCCCAAGGTGCAAGGCGAGGTGTGCACCTTTTTGAAACAAGGCACAAGCTTTTAAAAAATTCAAAATATGCAAAAAATGTCAAAACACAAAAAAAGTAAAAAAATCAAATACATCAAGAAAACATTAAAAAAATAGCTCAGCCTTAAATAAAAAAAAATGCAAACGTTAATTCAAAACAAATATTTTAAAAGCCTATTAGCTCAAATCATAATACATAAACATAACATATAAAACATATTCAAGTTGATTTATCAAAAAACAAATTCAAGCATATCGAAATTTCAATCTCTTTATTTCTTTTCCAATTGCATTATTTCAAGGGTAAAATACTTAAACTACCCCTATTTTTAGTAAATGGACCCCTAAGTTTTCTGACAATTGACAATAGCCAGCATCAGTTAATGGAAGATGGAAAAGACTATTTTACCCTTATTCTTCTTCTTCAAATTTTCAAAACAAAGCAAATTAGGGTTTCTAAAGATCTCCCAACTCTTGAATCTCAAAGAGTTAGTGAATCACTTAGCTTTCTTTTTTGTTTTCTATTCGATTTCATAGACTTCCATTTTTCCCTCTCCTTATTTCCATGGTTAAAATAGAAATAGTAATAAGAAAAGGAAAAAACAACAGATAAAAATTAGAGATTTCATTTACATTTACCCATTGTCGTCATGTGTTATAAACTAAGTTGCTAAGATCAAGGTTCAAAAAATCGACATGTATCGGCCCGTATTGGCCGATACGTTTCATATTGGGAGCCCCCCGATAATACCCCTACAAAGGGTGTATCGGGGTTCTGACCGGTTCAGGGGTGGAGGAGCCTTAAACCGCCCCCCCCCC